ATAGTAAAATTTGCTAGCCTAACTGCTGTGACTTCACTTTGGGATTTTACATACAACTAAGAATAAACTTGTTCACTCAGAGTGGGGGTTTTTTGGGTCCCAAACTTCCTGGAAACAATAGAAACAACAGCAAAACCCCTGCTCTTTAGTACCTTTCTGTCTGCTATTGAAAATAGGAAATCAAATGTAAAGATGCAATTCATTTTAAATTTTAGCTAAATAAAATAATAACACACAAAAAAATACCGGTCTTAGGACTTAAGAGTCTATTTTGGATTGGCCAGATAGTTCTCAGTTGATGAGACTGAATCCTACTGAAGTTGAAGTTATAGCTTCAGGAACAGAGCTCATGCAACAATGAATAAATGGAAATCCAAAGTCTCTGTAAACTTTAATTAAAATTAATTTTATATATATAAAAGAACAGAGCTCAGAGTACCCTATGGGAAGGATCAGCTCCTTTCCACTTTCTTTGAGCCTCTTACGTGTTGCCATCTCATTCAGTCAAGTTATCCTTCATATGTGCTCATAGGAGAAGAAAAGGCAAGGAGATGTGACTGGTTGTTCACTGTGTTGAACACTTGCTTGCTCCACTTTGTCCAGAGCAGCCTGGCCCTAGACTTCCTCTGGCCAGTTTTGCTGAAGGCTGTGGAGAGAAAACATGGCAGAGTGCATGAGGGGGTGCACATTATGGAGTCCCCCACTGTGCCTTGCCAGCTGGCCTCCGTTATAGACAGGATGGAAGGTTTTATTTGTTTTGCAAAGCTATCAGAATTAAACTAGAAAGGATTATTTAGAATCCTTTTTCTCCCATCTATTATTACTGCTTTCCTGGAGCACTATCCTTTCCTTTCACATGTAGTCTATTTAAGATATAAATGTTTCTCCAAAAATGCTTTCAAAATGAATTGCACAGAAAGCCAGGGAAAGAGTTAAGACGGCACAGTGCCAGTCCCAACCACTTAGTGTGTGGTGAAGAACTTGTTTTATTACCTAGATGCTTTGCACAAATTGGAAGGTGGAATTCGAGGCATTTTGTAGTATTCAGCCTAAGGGATAAAGGCCTGACATAAAGAAAACAAAAAACAACCCCGCAGATTTTTCTTCCAATTTTGCTATGTCTGAGGGCTGGCAATGCAGTGATGAAATGCTTAGCTAGTGACAAAAAAAAAAAAAAACCAACCCAGCAGTTTGAACCCACCAGAATCTACTCAGAAGAGAAAACCTAAAAATCTGCTCTGAAAAGATGGGTAGCCTAGGAAATCCTTATGAGAGTCTGACTCTCCATATGCGATTGCTTGGAGTTGGAATTGACTTGATAGCGCACAACTGAAGCTGGTTAGCTTCACTGCCTGTTGCCAGTTGCTGTCCCTCTCCCACTCCATACAGCTACACACTTCGTCTGAGACCTTTACTTGATGGACAAAGAGAAGAAAGTAAATAATGAGAGTCATGCACTTACTGAAAAAATAGCTTTACATAGATACTGATGATGCCTTTCATGCACTCATATAGGAAAGATACGAAATTGTTCATGAATATCACTTATTTATATGTGACCTCATTTGTTCACGAATATTCTGAAGATCTTACTTGACTATTTCAATTTGAAACAAAGTGAAGACTGTAAAGTGTTCAAAGTGCTGTAGTGAGATTATTTTTCATTTAGGTTAGGATCTGCTCTCGTCCCCAAAGTTTCTTTTGGTTCTGAAAATGTAGCATTCTAGGAAAACATAGAAGTTCTGAGTTCAGAATTCTGCCCACTGATTATGTGAACTTTAATAAGGCACCTCACTTCCCAGTACATTAGCTTCCACATGTGAAGGTGGATTTAAGGATAGGTGATGAATGGAAAAAATACATATGTTTGTATCTTCGCTTGCTAACTGAAAAAAAAATATATATTGTAGAAATAGTAAATGTCTAACTTTCAAATATTGGCGGTGTTATAAAGATAGTGGTGCCAAGTGGAGAGCATACCATGAAGGCAGAGGCAGGATGTATGCCAGGCCTACCATAATGGTAGAGATTTTTGGCTACTGACTATGCTTCCTGTTGCCTGAATAGACACAAGGGGCAATTACAGAAAAGTGGCTGAGAGCCCAGGACAGAGGAAATAAAGGAAGGGCACAGCCGCAGCCACCATGGCTTGGCAAATTACTATGTTAGGACCCTCTTGTCTTTATGAAATGACAAGGGTCTCTTAGGCAGCTGCTGCATATGCCTTAAATAATAATGAAAAGGGTTTGTGTAAGAAATGAGAAAGGATATGGGCTCTGATAGGCCTGGTTACTTAGAAGCTTGAAGCTGGTCATTTGAACCAGCAGTCTATTGATCGGATGTTGAGGAGGAAGAATGACTTGTGTGGGTGAAGACGTCTTTAGAGAACCATTGTGGGTCAGGTGTGGGAGGTGTTAAGACACTAAAGAATTGTTAATGAGACACTCCTTGTGTGGGATCAGGTTTATAATAGCTCTGTCTCCTGGGATAGGATATATTCCAGCCTCAGGTAGATATAAGTGAGAATGATTTTACCAGGATTAACACAGTGACTTAAAAAAAAAAAGAAAGAAAATGTGGGTTTATTCTTGGGTCTGAGTCTACAACTCAATTTCAGCTCAGCAGCAGTAAAACGCTCCAAGCACCAAATGCTGTATATTCATCGAAGGTTCCTGTTTGTCTCTTCCAGCTTCTGCTTCCTGCTCCCGGTACCTAATTTCTGCTCCTGCCTTCTACTTTTCTCCTAATGTGAGCTCAACTTTCAGCTTTCTCTCAGGTTCTCCTTTCTGTTCACTCGGCTGAAACCTCCACAGTGTGTCCTCAGTGTATTTGTAAAAGAGATTTTCTCTGTATCCCTCCACTCCCCTAAATAGATTAAGAGGAAATGTATTTCCTCTTTTGTATGTGAAATTTATGTCTCCTGTTTTGTCTTCGCTAATTGGAATGAGTACTTAGCCTCCTATTTCAAATGTTAAAAAATTGGGACTCTGCCATATAGATACAAAAGGTTTTCAATCTGATAAATACATTTATTACTTTCACATTGTATGAATTGTGGTTTGTGCCAGCTCTCTCTAGTGGCTTCTATGGCACCATTATATTCCATTTCAGTTTTGCATTTTAATGTATCTCCTGCTTGCTAGACAAGGACCTAGTCCTTGTAGAAAAAAAAAAAAAACCACATTAAAATTGCAAATATATATCTCCACGTAGGTCCCAGAACTGACCATATAAAAAGAATTCTAAGCTCCAAATAATGCCTAATTACTTATAACACATTTACTACAATGACGTTTAGTGATTGATCACACTTAAAAATACCTCCCTTATATTTGACATGTGCCAAAACTCTTGGCCTATAGTGAGGAGATCTGTAAGCTGTTTCTACTCAGTTCTGCTTCATTCTTAAACCTCTTGGGTGCTGTTTGAGAGCTTATCACTGATTTTAGTAAATTCTCTTTTATAGATCTTTTCCTTTGCTTTCATTTTATGCTCATTTTCTACTATTGTTTCTGGTCCAATTTACTTGAAAACTATTCCTGTTTTGTTGTTGTTGTAACTTTTAATGATTCATGTGGCAAGTAGACCAGCAAATCTTGAATTTTTTAATAGGCTTTTTTTTTAATTGAAGTCCTATCTTGCCTTCAACCTGGCTTATTTAGGATTATTGTTAACAATAATTATTATTACCTACTCAGGCCTTGGGCATTAAGGCTAATTACTTACTATTATTTATCACTGTACACTTTCTAACAAAAGCCCCTTTCCAATATTGGTGCCCGTCAGTGGACAGGAGTCCACTGTAACTTTAGCTGCTTTCTACATCTGCTAATTGACATGTTTACCCAGGGGCAAGTCAAGTGACTGACTTGTGATCCCTTCCCATACTTGTGACCCTTTTCTTTTTACCTCCCTCCCCAAAGCCTTGTAGTCATTTCTCATCATGCAAAAACTTATGATGATGATAATATTGTTGGGGGAAAATCTGGCTTTCTTCAGTGCTAAAATACCAGTTGTTTTATGATCTTTAGAATTAGTTTACCAGGTAAATTCCTACCCTATTCCACATTCTACAGACAGTTCATGAATTCGCAATTATGACCTTTCCATCCTCGTTCCACTGATTCTGTTCTTTGGATTTTTAAAGTATGATAGAACCCACAGCTTTATTGAGCTTATGTTTCCTTTTAGAATCTCAATGTATAGTTTTCCTCATATAAATAGTTCCATCAATGTCAGTTTTGATCAGTTTTTTTTAAAAAATTATGCCTAGCGGATTGAATCAAGATTATAAGCAGAGGACTAAACTTGGGACTCTCCATGACATTATTTCACTGGCCCAGGTTCCAGCCCCAAGGCCCGCCTAGATGAGGAAACCATAAATATCATAAATATGGCTTCACCTCGCTAGCATTCTGCCTCTCCACTATATTTCCTTTCTTGGAGGGAGGTCCAGCCCTTGGGATATAACTTTCTAATAGAGCTTTTTACCTTAAAAAAAAATAATAATAATAATTAAATTAAAAAATATATAAAAAATAAGCCGAGTAAAGGATATTTTACCTAAGTATTTTTTCCTAAAGGGCCAAAACGAAACTTTTTTTTCCTGTAAATTGATCACCTTCAGAATCTGGTCTTCTAATATTCTGTTCTGCTTTTTACTTGCCTAATGCTCCCCATCCTCTCTTCCTAATGTGTGTGTATGTGTATATTTGTGTAAAAGAAGGGAAAGATAAGTCTTTCTCTGAAATTTTGCTCAAATTCCATCTATCCTTAGGGGCTGCTGCTACACTTAGGGCAGTCAGACAATTTGGAAAAGAATTCAGGAGCGATTAGGACTTTAAAGAGTCAATTGATAGATTTATGGTTCACTTTCCTGTTAGAGTTGACAGGCATGCTAAGAGCAATTTTAGGCTACAAAATAAATTCTAGGGCCCATTTCAGCAGATAACTAACTCTTTATTATGTTCTGGTTAAAATTGTTGATACTTTTTTCCTAGAAATTTCAGGCACCAGTGAGAGAGACCTGTGTGGAATGTCAGAAGACAGTCTACCCAATGGAACGTCTCCTGGCCAATCAGCAGGTGTTTCACATCAGCTGCTTCCGTTGCTCCTATTGCAACAACAAACTTAGGTAAATCAGAAGAAAACAGGACACCACCTCTGGAGAGTTGGACCACTCCAGGAAGTCTTTGGCTTTTAGAACATTGGCCAGAAAAACTGTTGTGTTACTAGTGTTCTAATGAAGGCCGTTGGGTGAATTGGGAAAAAAATACTAATGGCAAGTGTCTTATCTCAGATTATAGTGGTGTTTTTCTTGTTACAATTTTATATTGATTTTGTATTAGAACTGAAGTTAAAAAAAACCCTTCAAACTTTAAACTCTTTGCGTGCGGTCAGAACCATAGCTGACCCTTCAGTAGTTCTATGAGGTTATAAATCAAACAAGAGGATATTGCCCACTTTTCTGCTCACGAGTCTTCAAAATTGCGGCACAGCTTCTTACCATTAGGCCACCAGAGCTCCCTATTTTCCTATTAGCTGTAGTTATATTTTATTCACTAATGCTATTTCTTGAGTGTCAGCGGATTGCAGAGCATTATACTGATTCTTACAGAAATATATTTTTAAACTATAATACAGATTGGAAATACAAAGAAATACCATCATAAGCAAGTATATGAGTCACCTGAGCTAAGTGGAGAAGACTTCTTGGAAGAGTAATTCTTTGACAGTTTTAGCAGAAAAGAATGAAATAATTTTAAAAGGAGGCATATAAATTAGGTGGAGGAATGACATGTGACGGTTCAGAACTAGAAATGAGCATGTGCTTAAAAATACTTCAGAGGAGTTAAGGGCAAGGTGACAGATTCCATTTTAAAGATTTTTTTTCTCACTTAGCATCTTCTGATAATATTCATATTGCCAGATATTATTTGCCTGTTGGTGTAAATAAGAATATTCAGATTGCTAACTTTATGCTTTTTCTTTTAATGACAGTCTGGGAACTTACGCATCTTTACATGGAAGAATCTATTGCAAGCCTCATTTTAATCAGCTGTTTAAATCTAAAGGCAACTATGATGAAGGCTTTGGGCATAGACCACACAAAGATCTGTGGGCAACTAAAAATGAAAATGAAGACATTTTGGAGCAGCCAGCTCAGCTTCCTAATGCAGGAGAAACTCCTCAGAGCCCAGGAGTAGAAGATGCCCCCATTGCTAAAGTGGGTGTGCTGGCTGCAAGCATGGAAGCTAAGGCATCCTCTCAGCGAGAGAAAGAAGACAAGCCTGCTGAAACCAAGAAGCTGAGGATTGCCTGGCCTCCTCCGACTGAACTGGGGAGTGTAGGAAGTGTTTTGGAGGAAGGACTCAAAGTGTCAAAACCCAAATGGCCTCCTGAGGATGAAAACAACAAGCCTGATGCTCTTGAGGATGTAGATCTAGATCTGAAGAAGCTAAGACGATCTTCTTCACTGAAGGAAAGAAGCCGCCCATTCACTGTAGCAGCTTCCTTTCGAACCACTTCTGTCAAGAGCCCCAAAACCTTATCACCTCCTATCAAGAAAGGCTGGAGCCTGTCAGATCAAAGTGAGGAGTTTGTAGGAGGAATAGCTGTAGAAAACGCCAAAGTCTCAGAGAAGAATGGGAGTGGAGAGAAATTGACTTGGCCAAACAAGGAATCTGAAGGAAGAGAGGCAGGGAGGAAAAGTAAAGAAGTTCATGGTTTTGAAATGGAGAGTGAGAACCTTGTTGAAAATGGTGCAGATGTCGATGAAGATGATGTAACTCTTTACAAACAGCAGTCTCCTGTAGAACTCAAATCTCCAAATTGGTCCAGCTTTGTAGATAACACCTCCACCAAAGAATTCACTACACAGAATCAGAAATCCCAGGATGTGGGATTCTGGGATGGAGAAGTAGACAAAGAGCTTTCTGTAGAAGAACAGATAAAGAGAAATAGGTACTATGATGAGGATGAGGACGAGGATGAAGAATGATAATTTACAGTGGTGTTGGGCCTTAAATTGGTGGTAGTGTTAGTAAGCCTCTGCCCTTTATCAAAGTGATGCACATAAACAGATACCTTAATGTGAACTATAATTTATGTGGAAATAGCTTTAGAAAACAAGTTCCCATTTAAAAAAAAATCCCTTACTGCAGCTTAATTAAAACAGTTCTAAATGTTCAAGATAACATTAATTAAATCCTCCATTTCAACAGAGATGGTGTTCATAAAGTGGTCTAAGATTATATAAACAAAAGAAAGGAAATATTCCAAATTATGTAGTCTGGAATCCACTGTTTTCCAAAAGGCATGTCAAAGTAGATAGCTAACTAGTATAAGGTTAACTCTACAAGTATATTGTGGCATTAGGAGCATGGAGAAGGGATTAGGGACCTAAACATGACTGAATGCACTTTAGTATAAAGGGCACAGTTTTAAATTTTTTTTAATAATACCAATGTAATTGTTTAGTATTCATCTTCTAAGAGATCAAATATTCTTTTTTTAAAAATTTAGATAAAGTTTCTTAACTCAGATATATAAAGGGGAATTTATTCTGCATCCTATATTCTAAACTGCACTCTGAACTAGATTATTGAAATATAAAACAAAGCCATCTTTTAGAGCAACTCTTGAAGGAATTTAAGAAGTGACTCACATGCTTTGGTGCTTGGAGGGATCCATAGCCTCCTGAATATGCTATGATGTTTGCCAATTTGCCTCTATCACAAGTGATTGCTTTCCTCTCTGGAGGTATCTGTCCTTCTCATAAATAACTACTAAAAACTGCAATATTTTTGTCAGATCTTTTGGATCACTATTCACTGTGCTTGATGGTACAGTCAAGAGAGAAACTTAAATGAGCAAAAAGAAGCAGAAATAATGCCTTAAAAACCACTGAGCGAAGACTTCCCAAGCCTTGTATTCCATTTCTGATGTCCCCTTTCTGAGATAGTAGGTTTTTTAAAATACTTATTAACTCTGAGATTTATTGATTTTATGATAAACAATGTTTTCTGGGTGCAGTTAAACCAACTATAGCCTTTTTCTTGGGATGATTTTCTGTATTTAGGCTTTGAAACATTACAAAATTGAAAACACTTATTGTACATAATTGATATTCCAAATTGTATGTGCGATGAGGAGGGGTGTTTTAAGCTATAGGCTTTTCTCTGTACTGCATTTATAGAGATTCACACTAATATTTTTTAGAGATGTAAACTATTCTGCTTTCTTAAAGTCTTGCTTGGCCTGAAACATTTTTATTCAATAAAGCTTTTCATTTACATTTGAAATGTTCCGCATTCTTTTTTTTTCTGTCTTTTAAGAATCTACTTTTAACTTAACTCATTTCTCTTAAGTCAGAATCGACTCAGTTGACCCTCCATTGGCTTTCCAAGACTACAGAGGAGATTGCCTATCTTTCTCCCTCAGAGCTAGTGGTGGATTTGAACCATTAGAGGCTCAGTCTTTGGATTAGCATGACTTCCTGGGGGGTAGGCCATCAGAACTCCCTACTTTTACTTTGTTGTCATTGTGTACTGTTGCGGCAGAACTGACCCATAGCTGATCCTTCGGTAGGTTTTTAGGTAATCATACAGGAGGAAAGTACCCATCCTTCCCCCACGGAGCAGCTGGTGGCCTGAACTGCAGTAGTTTGGAAAGAAAGGGTAGATGAATTTTCCATTTCTATTAGGGGGTGAGAAGCATTATGAATATATCTCACCAGTAGATGGTAGTGTTGGGCTGATCGTGGGCTTACATTCCGAGAGCAAAGACAGTTTTTGGAAAATGAAGGCAACTTGGCCAGATAATTAATGTGTACCTTCAAAACAAGCTGTTTGTTTTTTACCAATCCAAGATCCAGTGGTGAGTCTTAGTGTTTATTTTACTCAACATTTGATAATTCACTTTACTATTATGCCTAAATGGGATTTGTTTTCCACTCCAGGGAGTAATGTATTTGTTTAATTTTCTTACCTGTCGAGACAATTGGTCCAATTGTTAAGAGTTTTAAATTGTTTTTGTGGGTTTTTTAATGGTAGGATAGTTGTTTAGTGCCCTGAGTTCATTTTTGTCTCCTAGAAACCCTATATGGAAGATTAAAACTGCCCCATGGGGTTTTCTAGGTGTAATCTCTTCAGAAGCATGAGTGGCATCCACTTCCTAAACAACATTGTTCTGGAAACTCTATGAACTTTGATAGATGACAATAGTTATAGAAAAGCTTCAGACGTTTTGGCCATAGGGTTGCTATGAGTCATGCTCTGCTCAAAGGCAAACAACAACAATTTCTTCAGGAGCATATAACCAAATCTTTGTCACACAGAATCACTGGTTGAGTTCAAACTGCTATCCTTCAGGTTCAACAGCTGAGTGCTTAACCATGTGTTTCTTTGGGGAGAAGCATGCTTTTGAGTCATCAGTTACATTTTCAAGGGTGTTTCAGGCCATTGTTTGGTCTTGTGAGCGGATGTAGGGTACTTTGTGGTTTTGCACCCATTGCAATGAAGGTTTTTAGAAGTTCCTGTTCCTTGAACAGTTAATGCAGAAGACCCTATTGCCATTTATAAAATATATCAAGCCCTGGTTTGCACTTAGCTTCTGTTATTGTGTGACTCATTGTTTGCTTCATTAACCTACTCATGTGACCAGAGAAGTCTGGGTGCCTAGCATTTATGAATATCAATTGAGTATCACTATGTGACAGGTACTTAAGGAATAAAATTACCCTTAAAAGAACCATTTTCTGTGCCTTCCAAGAACTAAGACATATCATTACAGGCACAGAGGCTAGAAACAAGAAGTAGCACCATAATCAATATAAGCAAAGGGATGTCTTGTCAAGAAAATGACTAGATAACACTAAACATTCCTAGAAAACAACTTGCAGCCAAACTGTTATTCATTCCTCCTCCTCTTCAGCTGTCTAGATGAAGTTGAATCTTGTTTGGACTTTGTATGTCAATAGTGGGAGTTGGATGATGATTTTCTGTAGGATTAGAAGGAAAAGGGTCCTGCTTAGCTTTGGAAATGGCTAAGGAGACTGTTCCTGATTGCTATAGGACCAGCCTGGTTCCAGCAGTTTGTCAACCACATCACTTTTCACCAAAGTGAAAGCTATACCAGTTTGCTTTCATTACGTATGGGGGAATAATACATTTTCTAGGAACCATTATATTGAGCAATGGTACAAATGGGAATTTTTCTCCCCTGAGGATAAAATTGTGAATAGCAGTCCTGCATGCCAATTTAGCATGTTCTTTATTCTTTAGAACTCTGATTTAAATTCACATAGGCCAAAAGATTTTACTTCCTCTGAAAGTTTATCTTGAATACAATACGAGATACTGGTTATCATTAAGCTATTGCTGGAGTTTGAAGAAAATTATTTCAGACATTCTCTGCAGCAGTAACATCATCTGTAGTTTCTGAGAACTGAGAACTACAGCTTCATGGACTTTTATGTCAACCTAGACAGATTTGTTTGTTCTTTTGGCAGTCCATAGGAGGATGGTAAAATTCTGTCTTACATTCTTATCAGGATGTTACTGGTAAAGGCCAGTCCTTGAAATAAGCCATCCTTCTGGGAAAGGTAGAAGACCAGAGAAAGAGATGACCCTCAGCAAGATGATTGACTAGTGACTGTAACAATGGAAATCATAAGGATAGTGCAAGGTTCCAGTCTATTATTCATAGTGTCACTATGAGCCTCAGTCAGCTCAATGACATCTAACACCACCACTACCTCAACTTGCAGAATTAATCTCTGGATGGGGCCAAGAAAACAATTTTAACAAACTCTGCCTGATGCAGATGACACAACCCTGCTTGCTGAAACTGAAGAGGACCTGAAGCACCTGCTGCAGAGTGTCAAGGAATGCAGCCTACAATATGGATTGAGGCTCAATGTCAAGAAGACAAAGACTCTCACCACTGGACCAATTGGCAACATCAGGATGGATGGTGAAG